AAACAGGTGTGAATTTGGTATGAGGCATGAACTAAAGAAATAAGAGAAATACAAAATATTAAGAGAGCAATAACTTTCATTAAAATTTTATGATTTTATTTCCAGTTTTTTTTTTCAAAAAGAAAAATAATAATAATAAAACTATATAAAAACTATAAAAAGGAAAAAGAAAAATAAAATAAAAAAACTAGAAAAATACCCTAAAAATATGGCTCAACGAGGTGCTACTATCAAAAGCATTGTATTAAAAGGTCATGAAAAGCCTATTACTAAAATTGAATTAACTCGTGAAGGAGATTACTTTGTTTCATGTTCAAATGATAAAACTGCAATGTTATGGAGAGTTGATCCATTAGTAAGTATGGGAGCTTATGCATGTGCTGGAGCAGTATCATCTTGTTCAATTTCTAATAATGGTCTTTATTTGTATTTAGCATCAAGAGATGGTTCATTGTATTGTTTTGAATTAGAAACAGGAAAACAAGTATATAATAAATTACCTATTGCTGGTTGTTATGCACCAATTAAAAGTGTTGAATTATCACCAAATAATGAAAATATTTTAGCTGTTATTGGTGCATTTAGAACATTTGCTTCTTCTGTTAATTTGATTGATCCAGAGATGAAAACAACACCCGTCTCTGTATTATCACAAGAAATGCCACAATTAACTAAAGCTAAATGGTTAAGTAATTCTAGTTTTATTGTTGGAGATGAATTGGGTAATTTAAATATGAAAGATATTAGAACACAAAATAGTGGTCTTCGATTTGAATCTCATAAAGGTGAAATTACTGATATTCAATCAGATGCTAATGATATTCTTCTTGGAACTACTGGTAAAGATGGTAAGGCTTTTGTTCATGACATTAGAATGCCACAAGAAGTTATTTCAACATTTGAATCTGGTTATCCATTACAATCTATTGGATTTGCCCCATATGCAGATTATTATGCAGTTGGTGGTGGTCAAGATAAAGCAATGATTACTATGACTCAAAGAGATATGACAATGCTTATGACTACATTTGTAAGTGCTGTAGATGGACAAGAAATGGTACGTTTACCAGGTCACTTTGGTACTGTTAACACCATTGTATTTTCACATGATGGTAAGACTATATTTACTGGTGCAGATGATGGTTGTATTAGAATTTCTCCACTAACGAACCCTGTCTTTGCTTCTAATTGATACATTTTGATTTGAGTTTTAACAAAAATTTTATTATTTTTTATTAATTCAAGATTTTTCAATGATAGGAGTGATTAATTAGAGAAAAGTGAAAGAAAAAGTAAAGTTATTATAATAAAAAGATGATATATAAATATTTTTGTTATGTTATCATAAATTAATTCTATGTTTCTTCTTTATTTCATTAGGAGATTATGTTTTATTATTTCTTTAATTGTTGTAGTTGGATATATTGCTTTAATTATATTTATTTCATATTTTGGGTTTATTCAATCTCTATTTCTAAAGTCAGAATGGATATTAGAAGGAATAGACAATAATAATTCTTTACTTCAATTTGTTTTTACTACACCAAGAGATTATCAGATTAATGTTAATTCATTGTCAATGGAAATATTTATTGGAAATATGTTAATAGGAAATGGAATAATAACAGATTTTACAATAAAACAAGTAAATAAAATAGAGATACCTTTTTACGATATTCATTATGAAGACTTATTAACTTCATTACCATCTCTTAGTGTTTATCTTAATTCTTTTAAAGTGAGTTGTTTCTCTTTTAGTTAGAAGAAACGTTTATTTTTAAACAAAAATAGA